AGTTGTGAATACTGATAAATCTGTAGACTCCACCTCCCCTAAAATGTTTCATACAGAAAAGCCTTTTTTTTTTTTTCCTGGTCTTTTTGAGACAGGGTCTCCCTGTAGCCCCAGCTGTCCTGGAACTCAGTGTAGACCAGGCTGGCCTGAACTCACAGAGATCCACCCGCCTCTGCCTCCTGATTAAAGGCTTGCGCCACCATGCCCGGCGAAAAACACATTTTTTTAATGCAACTAACACTTAGGTGTTTGCACATGCATCTCTAATCTCTATATATCTGATTATTGCTCGTCACAGTTGGTTACTTTCTGAGATCCTTGGCACATGAGCATGGATATAGGGTAATCAGGTAGATTTCAGTGATACATGTACTAGTTAACATGAAGTAAATTTTTATGCTTCTTCCTCAACTATAACTCATTTCTTTTGTTTTTCTGTATTTCATACAGAATGTCCCAAACAATCTTATTCATCTATATATCTGCATCCCAAATGGCACCCTCCAATAGCCCCCCCCCTCCCCACTGGAGCCCATATACTCTGTCATCCCTGTTACTGTCCACTGTGTTGTCTGTACCCCCAGCCGTTCCCCATTGCTTGTCCATCTGCTGAGTCTAGTCAGCCTATCTAGAGGTCTTTGTTTTAGGAAGATCAGCTCTTCCTCATGTAGCAGCAATCAGTTGCCAATATTCTTTTAGATAAGATTGGGGTCTGCTGTTCATTTTCCCAATTCTATGCTTGGTTACTGTCTGGGAGTCTCTTGGGCCACTCTGGCCAACAACTCAAAAGGAAGGTATCCTGTCTGGCATTGTTTCTTGTTATGTAGCCTTTAGCTATACACATGGACTCTTAAAGAATATTTGATCACTTTAATCTTTGATTATACTTTCCTTTGGGTGTTGAAGACCATACAGTTGGCCCAGATAAACCAATTTATTTTTACTCTTAAGGTCATTTGAGGAGCTGTTCCTCAGGGGTCACATGGTCTTGGGAGGAGCCACTGGCTCCTTTCTTTTACCAGTTCCATCTGTGTGAAGATAAGTCAAAGGTCCTGCTCAACTGTGGCTGGCTTCGCTTGGAAGCATGGAGAAAATGTTTCCTCTATGTTGACCCTCCTCTTTGTAGACTGTCCATCTGGTGGGGTCTCCATGGCCTCCCTAAACAAGAGGACAGGTTGAGAAGTGCTCCATAATCCTCTGGAACTTAGCCAACTTTGAAGGGCAAGGAGCAAAAACTGTCCTTTAAATCCCTCTGACCAGATTAGTATAGGCCTCAAAAGTATTGCTGTTAAACATCCAAGAAGGTTAGTTCCACCAGTCTGGTACTTTTAATTACCATGCACTATGTAGATAAAGCTTGGGCAAAGACCAAAGGTTCTCAGATAAACCTTGGCTAGACATATATTTACAAGGCAGCCAGGCATAGTGGTGCATGCCCATAATCTCAGCACCAGGAGGTAGAAGCAGGAGAATCAGGCTCAGCAACATAGTGAATTTGAGGCCAGCCTATACTGCATGATACCCCACTTCAAAAATTTTAAAAAGAGCACCGAAGGACATCTGGGTACAAATGCTTGACTGGATAGGACTTGGCATGTGTGGTGAAATATGTGCAGTCTAGTGAAGGGGGGCGGGGTGAATGGGGGAGGAGTCTAAATTTGATTAAGAACAGTTGTATGAAATGTACAAAAGTTCAGTAAAAATTTAAAAATAAAAATTTTTAAAGAACCAACAAAAGAATTTAGAAATTATAGCTAATATACAAATGTTTGTTGATAACAAAGATCTGCCCAAAGGTCTTCTTTGGTTTCTTTTTTAATGCTGATGCCAAGAGATGTAAGAGTAGGGTTATGCTTCACACCTTTAATCCCAGCACTTGGGAAGCAGAGGCAGGCAGATCTCTGTGATTTTGAGTCTAACTTGGTCTACATAGTAAATTCCAAGCCAGCTGTAGCTACAGAGAGACCCTGTCTCAAAAAGACCTCCAAAAAAGAAGGACTACAAGAGAGTAAACTTTGAAATAGTTTTAGAATACTAAAATATCCTGTTTAACTTCGAACAAGTAGACAGATTGGCATGGAACTTTAAGAACACATGTGAAAAACGTAAGCTTATGTTGGGACTAGCGATAGCTTATAGGAGTGGAGAAAGCCAAATTTGGCCAGTCCAGAGCTATAGGGCGTTTTAGAGCTAGTATAGAAAATAGGAAAAGGATATAGCCCGTTTGTTTGTGGATCCTTCTTTCTAGAAAACCCTTTGCGAGTTCAAGGCCAGCCTGTTCTACATAATGAGTTCCAAGCCAGCTAGGGCTTCAGGGAAGACCCTGTTTTTCTTATATAATTTAATTTTCTTGTGTCTATATCTCACTTCCAGTGATCTTGTAAGCTCTCAAAACCACCAAAATTTTTATTTAATGATAGCCAGACCTAGCTCTTTGTTTGAAACTGTATTTTTAATCTGTAGAAAATGTTGAAGGTTTTATGTAATGCATGAGCATAATGTAAAGAATTTATTTTTTGATTGTTTTTGTTCTTGTTTTTTTCTTTTTGATCCAAGTTCTGCCTGTTAGGGTTCAAATTGCATTAGGAGTAGAATTTCCCCACCTACCAACATTATTGTAAAAAGCTGTTTTACATAATAAAGACCAATTTTAACAAAGTCCTTATTTGAGCTAGTTCAATTTTTCCCCTTTATAATGTGTCTTGTGCATCCATATTTTTATAATGGTATTCATACTTTTGATTTTGTATTTTTATTATATGTAAACATACTTCATGTTTCAAGCTTCATAATTGTTTTGGTAACTGTATAATACTTCATTAATCTTATAATACCATAACCATAATATGTCAAAATGCCTATAATAGGGAAGTAATTATTTCTGATTTTTGGTATGATGGATAATGCTGCACTAAACATCTTTGTGCATATCATTTTTTCTTCTGAATTATTTCCTTAGGAAAAATTCCCAGAAGTGGAATTACAGGATCAAAGGGTATGAACATTTTTATGGCTCTTAATATGTGCCAGTAGAATTTTCTTTAAGGATTGAATGAAGCCATTGAATGGCCTGAAATGGATTTCAACATTTTATCAGGACTAATGATCCTTTCGGTGGTTGTAGGATTAGGTTGGCAAGTACTTCAGAATTTAGATTTTTATCATGTACTAGCTAATTTCATATGCTTTATTTTGTAAAATAATTATAAGACAGGTAGTATTTTGAATTAACCTTTCTGCTAATACATAGTGGAAAATTCATTGTTGTTGTTTTTTTCTTATCATCTGCTTTGAATAAATATATTTTACTATTTGTTTGTAGGATTTGATTAGAGACCAAGGGTTTCGTGGTGATGGAGGTAAGTAGCACTCTTAGTTCAAAAGAAAGAAAAAGAAAACCACAGGGTAAAATGCAATTGCTTTGCTGCTTGTCTCCTTTATACTGCTACTGTCATGAAACAGACACAGAGAAAAATGTGTGTAGAAAACCAAGTGGGTTTTTTATTTTGTTTTTCTATAGTAGTTATTTAATACTGCTAATAAAGTTGTAGCTCACTGATGAGTAGAGAAAATGAGAAGATATAAAAGAAAGTCTTAAATGTACCATCTTCAATTTTAAAATACTGTACCAAGGAGAGGTCTTTAATTCTTTTATCTACTTTATTGATTTCTGCTGCTTCCAAAGCTGGAGTTGCTATATTTCTTTTGGCCTCTACTGAATACTTATAGATGGAGCTTAGAATCAGATAAAACTTGCTAAATCATTCTTTGGGAGAATCCCTTGTTTTGCCTGCCACAGCTTCTTGGCTTGTGAGACTTTATCATGCATTTCCTTTCAGCTTTGTAGAGGCATTTGAAATGTACATTTCATGGAATGGACCCATAATGAAAAACTCAGTCAACCTTTTATTAGTGGAGTAGAGAAAATATATAAATGAGAGATTTCATTTAGATTTCTTACAGACTTTTCATCTAGCCTTCACTCTAACGAAGACAATATTGCTTAAGTTTTTTGTTTTTTTGTGTTTTTTTGAGCCAGGTATGGAAAGACATGCCTACGATTTAGCTGAGGCAGGAGGAACATGAGTGGAAGGCCAGCATAGCCTACATGGAAAGACCTTGTCTCAAAAAACAAAGCAAAACAAACTTTTTTGTCAGAATTTACCCCATATATTATTTTCTAAGAGATGGTATTTGAGACTGTCTTGAAGTTTTCTTACAGGAGGTCCTCTATGCTTGCTTCTCAGCTGTCTTCTCTCACGAGGAAGACCTGTATTAGCTGCAGAACATGCTTAGAGCTGGGCTCTTCACTGTGACCTTCTGTATCTTCAAAATAGATCCAAGCCCAGACTCAATATTGTATAGTGAGCAAGCATTGTATAAGCCATCTTTGTTATGTTTCTGTGCACCTGTGAAGTTACCAAAATAATAAGCCTGAATTATGTACTCTGGACTTAGTGTTAACTGTAGCACATAGTTATACAGCAGTTTTGTTGTTTGTTATTTCATGAACCCGTCAGTTAATGTTGCTGCCAGTTTGACTTTCATATGTCTTAGTAGCTGTGGCTGCTGATAATTTTGCCCAGTACATCCAGCATTTAAATGTTGCCATCATGTTAGCATCACAGTTAACTTAGTCATAAACACAGCCTGCTTAGTACCTAAAATCAAGTGGCATTTCTTGTCCTTATTATGAGTCACTTTTTAAAATTCATTGAGATTTTATGAAAATATAAGCAGATTTTTTTAAAAACGTCCAGAATTGCTTTGTGAAGCAGGCTTCAGTTCATCTAAATTATTCCCCATGACTTTCATTTCTTCTGTGTGTCTGTCTTCTTGTGTTTGCCTGCCCCTCTCTTTCTCTTCTAACAGCCCCCTTGAACCAGCTGATGCGCTGTCTTCGGAAATACCAATCCCGGACTCCCAGCCCCCTCCTACATTCTGTCCCCAGTGAAATAGTGTTTGATTTTGAGCCTGGCCCAGTGTTCAGAGGTAGTTGGGCTCTTCTTTCTTGTTTTCACCCAAGCAAACTAAATATAAACTACAGATTCTGTTTATGCCTCACCCTCACAGCGTGTGTTTGTAAGCGTGCGAGTTTTAAGTGCTAAATTTCTGCTTGGCCTGGCTGGAATGCTCTGACTGTGCTTTTCACATATACTCACTACTACTGTAAGCTTTTTGGTATGCTGTCTGTTACAAGATTTTAAAAGCAAGACAGTTCTGAATTGGGATTTCCATCTTGTTTATTGTTGTCTTATTTTGGCTTTGTCTTGATAACTTTTTTAATTCAGTGGGTGGGATACAGGAAGCAGGGGCAGTTTACAGTCTGGATTCTTTTCATTTTAATCCATTAGATGATAACTTTGATAAAGTATTATTACTTTTATTTAGATTTTATCATGTAACTAGCTAATTTCAAAGTATTATTATTTCAAAGTAATAATACAATTGTGGGGTTTTTGAGAAAATAAAAATGTAAGTGGAAATCTCAAGATCTTTATGCCTGTCGTGGTGGCTCATACCTGTAATCCCAGCACTTGAGAGTCAGAGACAGGAGGGCAAAAGACTCTTTTATGAGACTTTTGACACTTTTTTCAGATTTTGTAATATTAGTAATTTTTGTCACTTATTTTTCTCCTAATATGGGATGTATATATTTTGACTGATTCATAAATGTGAGTTCAGAAAATACTTTGAATTATGGTCTAACGTGAGGAAAAAGTTACCGATACTGTTGTACTCCCCCATTTTATCTTGCCATACTTCAATTAGTGATTAAATCCACTTTTAAATTTTAAGTCAAAATTAGACAAGAATCTTTATTTTAAATATTTTAAAATTATATTTACTGACTGGAATATACTTATTGACTGCTACTTAACACAGTAATGGTACTTTAGGTGTTTGATGTCTGCTCAGCTGTGTTTCCAAAAATCCTTAGAAAGCGATAGAAGTCATTGTCATTCAGTACTCAGTAATATCATTAAACTTAGGGGTAATCTATTTAGAAAACTAGAACTCTGAAACCTGGGCAAATTGTTAATGCTTTATAATGCTAAAAGTTATCAGTGGCAGTTACAAAATGTATTGTACTTCAGTTAAAAAGAAATTCCAAATACCGTTTCTTTTAGAAAACTGCATATGAGATCATAGAACATTCATATGGTACTATAACAGGATGTAATAGTTATAAAATATTTACCCAGATTAAACATTTAAATGTTGTCGTTGACATCCTAGTTGTTTGAAAGATCGTGGCTCTTTTTTCCCCCTGAGAGTAGTGCTTTTTTGTAATTTCTTGAAGATTTTGTGTACTTGTTTGAAAGTACTACCTGAAAATCTCAGTCCTACTCAGCTATACCGACTGGGAGTCATTGCCCTGACCCCCTCTGAACCAGATACTGTACATACTTTCTGCTGCATTAGCATGTGGAAGCTTATCCATCAGAAAGATTTCATATCTGCTAATGAACCCACTTTCAAAACGTTTATTTCAGACTCACTTCGCTTATAAAATATTGGCATATATGTATAATCTGTTCTCCCTTATAGTATCAGAGTTTTTCCAGAGAGTTGAGAAGCCTACTTAGCTTTGTTTATGTTAACTTTGCTATAGCAGCAACAAATAATCTATATTTACTAATAAAGACTTCCATGAACCACTGACACTACCCACTATCTCTTAAAAATAAAGCTTTTGCTGGACGTGGTGGCGCACGCCTTTAGTCCCAGCGCTTGGGAGTCAGAGGCAGGTGGATCTCTGTGAGTTCAAGGCCAGCCTGGTCTACAAAGTGAGTTCAAGGCCAGCTGGGGCTACAGGGAGACCCTGTCTCAAAAAGACCAAAAATTAAATAAATAAATAAATAAATAATGATAAAATATTAGCAAAACATAACAGATTTTTTTAAAACCACAGTTAATGTCATATTT